ATTAGTATCATTGGCTCCATTCACTCCATTGGTTTTATTGGGTTCCATTGGTAATTTTCTCAATGAAGTATATCTATTGCCAACCTTGGGTGAGGGTTATAGTTTAAATTAGAGTTATATTAAGGTTAGGGTTAGAGTTTTTTTATATTATAATCTTATAATATTTCTATATTGCTCAGCTATACTAAAGAAGATCCAAATTAAATGTTTATATTAATAAAATGACTATAATAAAACCTCTATATAGTTCTAAAATATTATTTTTAATATAGCTATAACTATATAAAGGTCACTTCTAGATTAGTTATATCTCTTTATAATTACAGCTTTCTATATCCTGAAGGTGTAACTATAGAGAAAGAAGGCAGTATTTATTACTTGATAATCTATTTTAGTTGTTTTATATTAGTTTAATATAATCTATGCAATATTGTTGCATCTATTACAGATTATAAGATCTGGTGTAATGTAAAATCAAAACAATAAATATTTGTTAGTTAGGGTTAGAGTGAGGGTTAGGTTAGAGTTAGAGTAGAGAGTTTTAGTAAAAAAGTTCTAACTCAAAATTTTATAAGAAATTTTTTTTGTTAGAACATAAATGATAGCTTCATATATAAAATTTCAAGCTATAAGCAATTTTGACAAACGAATGTTTTGAGTTTTTTTGATTGTGTTACATTACACCTAATCTTAAATTTCGATTAGTCAGTTATATGAAGCAACACATAGCATATATCACATGGATGCAATAAATATATTTACTTTACAAAATAAATATCAAATAATTTTTTATCATCACTAATATAAAGCTTTACTTGTTTTGCTATAAATTATAATATAAAATTTATTAAATTAAAATTATACTATTTCTTCAACTATAAAGTATACAAATTTGTATATTGCATCTTATTTTATTATAACTTTATTCTCTAGTTTCTAAGCTAGAATTAAAGCATAATATATGCTGATTATTTTATGTAGTTTATAGTATTTTTTACTTCTATATATTACTAATATGATACTCAATCTGAAATTGTGTATTGAGTAACTTGATAATCAATTATTTTTTTTATTTACTAATAAATTTCTTGCTAGTTTAAATAAATAATTAATAACAAAATTAAACTAAAAAAAATATATACTGATATATAAATTATCTTTTAATTTTACAGTATATTACAAAAAAAAAGTTTAGATTGTTTATAGACTAAAAATAGATAAATTTAAAAAAATTTTTAACTAAAAAACTTATTTACAAGTTTTTAATAAACTCTTTAAATATTGGTTTTAAACTTATAATTTTTAATATAATATTGTAGTTTATATAAAAATAATAACTTTTATTATTGCATTTTTTAGTAATTTATTTATAAAAATTCTAACTTATATTAGAAGTAAAAATTTTTTTTAAAAAATATATAAATTTTAAGAATTTTTTAAAAAAATTTAATAGTAAAAATTTTTCAAACAAAAACTTTAAATTTTTATTACTCTAAAGACTTAATAAAATTAAAAAATTTTTATAATAGAGCTTATAAAATATGTTTTAAATAAAGCTTATAAAATTTGCTTTAAATAAAATATTGTATATATAAAATATACTTTATATTATTAATAATTTTTAATTTTATTTAAAAAATTTATAAAATTCTAGGCAAATTTTCCTGAAATACAGATTAAGAAATAAATTATAATAAAAATTCTATTACAAAATCTACTATTCTAATAATTATAATATATAGTTAAATTTTTAGTATAATTTTTATTGTAAAACTTATCTGCTATTCTAGTAACTACAATAGAAGTATTTAAGATAAATCAGTTTGTATTTAAATTAATGTGATTTGTTTATGGATTGCTGAAAAATTTCTTTTATAAATTCATTCATTATTCTGAATAAGATAAGTTAAAAATATTATAATTTTATTGTAAGCTACTGCAAACAAAAACTTTATTACAATTTACTATTCTGGTGACTATAATATGCATTAAATTTGAGTTGGTTTATATTAAAATTGTTATAATTTCTAATGTAAGTTACTGTAAATAATTTTGTCAAAAACTTACTTGCTATTTTATTGACTAATATGGGGTTAATTTGCATTAGAATTGTTATAATTTCTATCATGAGCTACTTAAAAAAATTTATTACAGTAATGTAACCACAATATGTGGTTAAAATGGGATAGTTTGCATTAAAATTATCATATTTCCATTGTATGTTACTATAAATCTATTACAGAACTTACTCACTACTTAATAACTATAATATATGCTTAAGTTTGAGTTAGTTTATATTGGACTTGTTGTAGTTTCTATTATGAGTTACTGTGAATTATTCTGTTACAGAGCGTTATTTTGGTAACCACAATGTGTAGTTGTATTGAAATAAACGTAATTTTTAGGGGAGTATACAAATAAGGGCCCAAAAAAGTAAAATACTGTAATTGCATATAAGGGCCTTATTTTAGAAAATTTTAATATATCTCATGATACAGTGAATGCAATTTAATAATTTTGATACCATTCGAATCGTCTCATACAAAAATTTTTGAAATGATATAAACCCTCCATAAATTTCTTGAATATAAGTAGGATTTGTATAATGTTTATACCATTCAATTCCTCTCGGTGAGGAGAATCGAATATTATAAAAATTATTGATCCGGTCAGAATCCAATGATTGGATTCGGGCAATTTTTTTTTTTTTTAACATTAGATTTTTCTCGGTGTGAAGAATCGAATATTACAAAAACCACTCGAATAATTCGATCACTAAAGCCAGAGATAATTTCAGTTCGCCAAAGTACAATTATAGCCCTGACCATTTTCATCTCGAAATATTTGTTGCACAGCTAATTCATTCCAAAATTTGTACCAATTTTACGAAAGAAAACGAAATTTTTTCATCGAAAATAAAAAGTTTTTATATTAATTACATCGTCAAAATACCTAACCTACCCAGTCTACCTGAATTCTTAAGAAAATAAAGTAATTATATGTCAGAAAACCATTAAATTTTAATGTATAATAGATAAATATTTTATACTATACAGTAATAACTTTAGAGATAAATTCAATATTCTCATGCTACGAAAATGCGATCCTTATAACACATCTGTAATTTTTTTAGTAATAACCAAATTAGACTCTCTTAATGCAGGTTTTGCCCTTTCCTAATATGATAACTTAAAGTCAACTATATTTTTCAATTATTTGAATTCAATACAAATTAAACTCAATTTTTCTTTTCCATAAACCATAATTCTTGGTGTAGATATGCGTAATTGAATTTTGTCCTACACAAATTATGGTTTTAGTAAAACATGAAACTTTTTGCTTTGATTATAATAGTAAATAAAAAACTCATTTATTCAAATTGTTATAGATGAACTATTCTTTATACAAAATCCAAGTGGCTGCCTTTTGTGCAGACTTTTATAATGTGTATAGTTTAGCTTTAAATTAATCATGGGTCCAATTGGGTTCACGTTTGTTAGCAAAAGCATCTTTTCCTTCCTTACTATCATTCTAAACAAAAAATTGTTAATGGAAAGTGTGAAAGGTTATAGCTATTAAATAATATATACGTAAATTTACGCACCAGAGAAAAAAGAGCCTGGAATATTCTTCTTTCGAAATGACACCCTTCTCTCAATGATAATTCATAGGCTAATAAATACAAATGTATTAAAAGACTTCCTCCGTCAATTCATAATACTGCAAGTGAAATAACTCGAAGCAGCTTATCTGACGAATTACAAACCAGCATTGACCGACTCTTTAGCAGCTTGAACAACTGGTTGAGAAAATCCGGCGAACTCCTGTCCAAGTTCAATAGCTTTTTCAAGTACTTCACTCACTGGAAATACTTTACTTACAAGCCCCCATTGTTCAGCTTCTTGAGCTGTAAATGTTCGACCAGATAACACAATTTCCATCGCTTTAGATTTTCCAACTACCCTTGTTAGTCTCTGAGTACCTCCAGCGCCTAAATTGGATTTAGAAATACTTTATAATTAAGGAAATATAGTTTAATGTAAAAGTTGAGAAGGACTAAAATTTTTAATTACCGGGGATAAGACCAAGTTTAATCTCAGGTTGCCCAAATTTGGCGGTCTCTCCTGCATATATAACATCACAACTCATAGCTAATTCGCATCCACCACCCAGCTGCTCAGAAAATATGTGTAATAAAGGCATGATTATTTGCAAACGGAATTAGTCAAACAAAAGTATATCTTAAAGATCATTGTTAGGAATCATAACCACAGTACCGCGAATCCATTAACAGCAGCAATGACTGGCTTCCTAACATTATTAATCTCTCCCCAATGAAAAAGGAAATTGGTTTTATAAGAGTTAGCAAACGTTTGATTAAGCATTTCTTTGATATCGGCACCAGCTTTTAAATAATGTAAAGAATTAATTATTAAAAATTCAAACATTTAATAAAAATTAAAATATTAAAAAAATCAAACCCGAAAAAACGCGTTCATTTCCGGTAATAACAATAGCTCCAATACTTGGATCATTATCGAACTTTTTCAAAGCATCATTAACTTCATGAAATAAGTCACTGGATAATGCATTTAAAGCTTTTGGACGATTCAATGTGATTAATCCAACTTTATCATGGCTTTCCGTCAAAATGCTTTCATAATTAGGAGCATCAGATTTATAGTCTTTTTCACCTGTGTAATTAAAGAATTAAAGTTATTTGTTTAAAAAAATAACTTGTAAATTTTGATACAAAATAAAAAAATAAATTCATAATCGCTTACTATTATTGCGCAGAGCATTGTAGGTGCTAAAACGAGAAACTGGAACTCGAATTCTTTGACGTGATAATGAACGTACGAGTGAAACAAGCATCTTATTATAAAGAGAGTTAAATAATGATAACGATAATTTGGGATCTAAATACCGTAATAAAAAGCGATCTACATGCATAAGATTTTCATATGATTGGCTATCAAAAAAAAGTGTTACATAAAAAAATAATCTAATATCGATATCGTCAAAACCACTTCTAACAACATTAACATGAAAGACAAATAATATCGCAAAATTTTGGTGCGTAACAAGGTTATTACATTAATTTTTCAAAAACGAAAAGTTAATTTTTCTAAGATAATGATAATATGGAGTGAATCTTTAAATTTTAACTGATCATAATTATTGTTGATCGACCAAATGTGGATCTATTCTTGAACAACGTTAATCAGATCTTCATACGTAGCAGATTTTAACCTTTATGTTCACGAATCATAATGGAATCTGATAAATAAAATAGGCCTCTTTTAAGCCTCTAAAATCCACATAAACCCGTTTATTAATAAGGACAATCTAAATTCTAATACAGGCTCTCATAAAAGCTTAAAAAATGCATACAAAAATTTTTTTCGAGATTTCTGAAATTTTAAATCAAAATAAGGCAAAATTTTATCTTAATTGTTACATATACCAATATTCTGTATTACATAATCAAAAAACAAGTTTCAAATTTCTTAAAATTTTAATTTGATGCATATGCACCGTTCGTGACCACAAAAAGCAACCAGAATCTTTTTTTTTCAAAAACAACTAACCACAGAAATCGACTCTAATCAATCTAAATACAGTACATAACATTCCATAAATTTCTGAAGAAATTGCACATAATTTCATAATCTCCACAAAATATCACATACTAAGCCAATAATGTCGGCAAAATTCGAAGAAATAGGATAACGGGGTAGCTAATTAAGCATATTTAAATTTAGTTTCTGGTTTCTATGTAGTGTAGATTATTATTTTGATTTTTTAAATTATGGCGGTTTGCATAAAGGTGTGACTTTGTGATTTCGTGATGATTATAACGGAAAAATTTACGAGATTTATAGCGCTTTGCAAAAAGATGTGAACATGTGATTTTAGTGATGATGATGGCTGAGAATCATTAAGATTCCAGATTGTCTGTTACTTTATATTTTCTATTGATTACGTTTATATTACTTTGAAATCGGTTTAATTCTTAAAATCTCAAAAAATCTATAAAATCTCCGATTCTCACATGAAAAAATGATCTGCAGTGTTCACATCTTTTTGCAAAGCGCAATAATTTCCTATTGATCATAATTTTCAATCGAGAATCTAAAAATCTACTAGAATCGGCTGACTTCTCGTGATTTTATGATCTGCAGAGGTCACGCCTTTTTGCAAACCGCAATATTTTTTGGCAGGAATCAAAATTTTCTTAAACTTTTTAAAGGTTTTTTTAAAAAAATAAATGTCGCAGCTGATGCTGAAAACGGCTGATGCTGGAATTTTGGGGTCTCTATTTAGAACTATAAAACCTACTAAACCCACCTATACATTTTAATTAATAAACTCTGCTTCTAAACTCTACTCAAACTACTCAAATTATTATATGAAGACAAAAAATGCTTCCCAAAAAATTGTAAAAATTTAATAATAAAATAAAATTTCAGCATCAGCTGCGACAATAAATTATACATTAAATCACAGAATTAACATTAAAATATTGAAAAATTACGCAAAATTTAATTATATATACTGTATATATATACTGTATATTAATTGCAACAAATTCCAAACCTAAGTATTACACGAAAAATACAGTTATACGCGGCAGATTTATGATTTTGATTGTTTATATTATCTGAAGATTTATTCTTTAATTAAAAATCTCTTAGAGAGCTAATAAATATTAGCTTATTGTACCCCTTTTTGTAATTTTAATTTAATATCCCAGGATCAGGTATTTGATATATATGAATAATATTTATATATATCAAATACCTGACTCTGGGGTATCAAATTAAAATTCTAGAGAGAGGTATAATTAGCTAATATTTGTCAGTTCTATTAGCAACTTCTAAACAAGATTAATAAAAATTTTTATTTTAATTATATAAACTTGTAAATTAAAATAAAAAATTTTATTATTAAATCTAGTAGTTATTAAGAATATTTATTTAAATATTTTTTAAAAATAGAGTTTTAAAAACAAAGATTATAATTGTATTATTTAGACTTAAATAAAAATTTTTAACTATAAGTAATTATTATATAATTTAAAAATTAATTTATTTGTAGCTATAAACTATATATAGCTATACTATCAAATATAGTTTTTTTATAAAAAAATTTTGCAGCTATTAATATTAGGGTTAGGGTTAGATTAGATTAAGTTAGTATTATGTTAAAGTTAGAGAAAAAGCATTTTTACTTAGTTATACAACAAAGATTATTTTAGCAAAATTTTGAATTATTATAGAATTATTAAATACAGCTACAAAAAGCCACAGTTATACTGTATGTAAATTTTTTTATAATTTAATACTTAATTTTTTTTTTAACAATTTGGCAGTCTTGCCTCTACTTTATTAGGTTTGATAATATTATATTAAGAAATATTACAATTTTTTGAAAAGTAAAAAAAATACTAACAACTTCTAAATTACAAGTATCAACTTATCTAATTATTTATTGGATACCTATATACAATCTGCTATAAGCAAAATTTTACTTAAACAATATTCTCTTTTGCTACTAAAGAGAACAAAGTATTACTGGAAGGTTTTTACTAGTCTGTTAAAGCTATTTATCCTTTTTTTAAAATTTTTTCTACTTAGGTTTAGGGAAAATAGTTTATCTCTTATTTTTATATAAAGAATGAAAATAAATACTATGTTTATAAAAAAAAAATTTAGAACAAGAAAACGAAATAAAAAAATATATATATAAAAAAAAAGTATTTTAAATATAATTTGATCATAAATAAATAAAGATAAAAAAGCAAAATTCAAATTACTAAAATCTTCTTCTAATTCTGCTGTCACTAAAGCACCACAAGAGATCATCGATGAGGCATTGTTGGTTGTCAATGCTAAAGCCTTCGTAGCCAAATTAAATTCATTAAGAACAGACATAATAGTATTAGCCATGTTAAGTCCAGTATGTTGTACTGTTATAGGGACTATATCAAGAAGAAAATTTTGAAGAACCCATAAAGAATCAATTTAATGAATGGTTAAGCTAAGAAAAGCTGTTCCATTTAACACCATCCACATATCAGCCATAAATTAAACTTTTCCAGGAATTTTACTAATTGCTAACTTCACTTCTTTTTTTTCTTCTAATATTTTATCAAATTTAATATTATTTTTGTATATGTTTAATATATTGTTAAGACTTTTCTTGGGGTTGGCTACTAGCATTTTTTCTCTTGTATATAATTTTTTAAACTAGATTGTTATTTCTAATAGTCTCTCTCTTTGATATATTCTTCAACATCTTTTATCTTGGTCTTGATTAAAGCTTTGTTTGGGGCTTTTATTATTTTTAATATATTGTGTTTGTATCTTTTATATAGTTTGCTAAATTCTTTAACTTTCTTTCTTGCAGCTTGTAATGCTTGGTTTTGTA